TTACCAGGGGAGAAGGCTGGAAATTTGCATAGCCTGGAGGAGCCTGCAAAGCGCCCACCCCACAGCGGAACTGGACATGCACTTACGCGAAAGTATGCGAAGTTCCTGAGGATCGAGGGCGGGGGTTCGGGGGGGGTCGAAACTCTTAACCTGCGAGGACTGGGGAGTGGACGTGGCCTTCCGCAACTAGGTGAGCGGCGCCGCTCAGCACCGAGAAAGGAGAGCGGGCCGCTGACCGCGCACCCATTGGCCGAGAGCGCGGAGGCCGGCTTCCACGGTTGCGGCCCAGCGAAGACCGCGCGCGCTCGCTTGGCCCCCTGGCCGGCGCGCCCCCGAAGCCAAGCCCTCTAGGAGGCCAGACTGCCGGGCTTGAATCGAGACTCCACCGAGGCGACCACGTCCGCGGCGCGCAGAAAGAAATCCGGCACCTGGCCAGCGACCGCGCTCGAGGCACCCGCAGCCAAACCTGAAACGATCGATTGCAGAGTGTCGTAGAACTCTCGACTTTCACCCACGCGCTCAACCGCGCAGCGCACGGGGGAGGGGAAAACACACGGGGTTTCAGGGATGCCCAGGTGGGGCATCCAGCTCCAGAACAAGGATCTTGGGCACTCAGAAACACTCTGCAATGATGGACGCGCTTGTAAACCCAGCGCGCAGCGCTAAGGTCTGGGCGGCGGGAGCTACCTCTGTCCTCGGGGCCAGCAAGCTTCCAGACAAGCCGGGGGCCCTTGCCCCTGGCGCCCCAAAGGGGATCTAGGCCAGCGGCCTCGGCAACTTCGCGCCCAGCCATATCGGCCCGTAGCGAGCGCGTCAAAATAAGAAGGCGCTGGCTCCCAGCTCCTTTGCCCGTCCCAGCGGCAGCCAGGGCCCCTTCCAAAACCTCAAGAACAAGGCCCAAGGGCAGGGGTTCATGGCGCGGACCGATGGCAGGACAGACAGGAAGAGAAGGGGGGCCCTAACTCCAGAAACTCAACTGGGCAGGGCCGGGGAGGGGGGCCAGGTCAACGAGACTACGCGGAGAGAGGAGGGGCGCGTTATTCGCCGACACATTTTGGATAAACCTGCCTATGCTCGAGGACACGATGAAATAATCAAACACCTGCTGACCCCCCTTGCCCCCGAGCGCGTAGCTGACGCCAGGAAGAAAGATCCGCTGACCGTTGGTTGAATTATGAGACGAATTGGTTGCACTCCAGACCCTCTGGCGCCGCGTCAATGCCACCGCCGATGGTGACTGGGAGATCCGCGCACGAGGTGCCTGCGCCAATGCGAGGGAGGAGCTCCACATTGCGCGATGTCAGGTCCTCAACGCCACTAAGGTAAACTGCAGCCACGAGCACGCGAAAACCTCATGGAACAACCACGACTGCGGCACCAGCTCGAAAGGAGAGCCCAACTCCAGAAGAGAGGGTATGCAACCCAAGGCACGAGCGACCCAGAGCTGCGACTCCGCCTGAAGTACCTCCTCCGACCCCAGGAGCGGCGACCACCCGACACGAATTCCAATCCTGCCTGGCAAGCCATTGAGGCGCCCGAGAGATCGCCTCTGAATCGCACGGGTGGCGCCCTTGCACTAGAAGAACATGCGCAGTGAGGTTCGACAGCCACTTGCTCGCGAGAAGAAAAACAATCCGAAACATTGCATGTCTGAACTTGGAGAGACAAAGATTACAAGACGGGCTCGGGAGGAGCCGTGAGCACGTCTTGGCTTAAAAGGGCGGGCCCCCCCGAAGCGTCTGCCCACTTGCGGCTCTCCGAGCCGCTAGCGAGCGGGCCAGAGACTGGGCGCCCCATCAGAAGGAGCGCCAGGACATGAAGCACTCTGTGTACGTGTCGACCTCTTGGCCGACGCCTCCGACAACTCCGATGCCTGTTTGCTGGAGTCCGCGGATGCACTGCCCTCCTGGGCCGACGACCATTCAGACATAAAGCTGCGCAAAGCCTCCTCACCCTCTGAAGAGACCTGCGGCACGTCAGCACCCAGGCCATCGTCCAAGCCCGCCCCACCGCCCAAGCTATCAACAGGGATGTCAACAGAAGCAGGCTCCACCCGCGGCTGGCTGAGAAAACGGAACTGGAGTGTGAGCTGAAACCAGCTCTCACAGATGGCGTTGGTGTCCCCTGCCTGCAGCAAACGGTCGAAGGAGACCATTTTTACGCCCAGCTCAGTAGCAGCGACAGGTTGGGATGCTGGAAGACTAGCAATTTTCTTGGCGAGCTCGACAAAGCGCTGCTTGAGCTGGACCTGCTGCGACTGGTCCATTGCACGCTGCCCCCTGATATCCGCAAGCCTCTCATCCGCCTCGCCCAGCTGCTCGCCAAGAGACACGACCCACTTCCCAATTCGGCCAGAGTATGCTGCACGCCAGTGTGCTGTTGGAGAAGAGGGCGAGACTCCAGAGCAGATGTACGAACCGCCGACGCCGACTGTTCAACCGTAGCAACAAGGCTACTGCGCTCTGGGAACTCTTGTTGAACTGATCACCAGAAGCTGCAT